CCTGTTACTGATGTTATGGAGGCCCACATTAATGACCCTGACCCTAACCCTAACCCTAACCCTGACCCTAACTCTAATCCTAACGACAACGAGCCCGTCCTGCAGGACTTCCAGGTAGGTCACGATACTAGAATTATACAACTCGATAACGATAAATATAAACAAAGACCCAAAAATGTAACTGAGTTTTGACAGGTTAGTGTCTTTGGTTTCAAACTGACCTGTTACTGATGTTATGGAGGCCCACATTAATGACCCTGACCCTAAACCTAACCCTGACCCTAACCCTGACCCTAACTCTAATCCTAACGACAACGAGCCCGTCCTGCAGGACTTCCAGGTAAGTCACGATACTAGAATTATACAACTCGATACAGATAAATATTTTATATTCAATATCGTTTATGATACCACAAGGATAAAAACGAACACCACAAAACTGAAGTTAGTGTCTTTGGTTTCAAACTGACCTGTTACTGATGTTATGGTGGCCCACATTAATGACCTTAACCCTAATCCTAACCCTAACCCTCCAAGTCGGCCATTTTGATTAGGTCATGTGACTAGCAGCTTTCTCAGGTGAAACGAAACTTTAGTGTCTATACGAAATCGGAAGATAAACGATGTCCTAACCCTAACCATGACCCTTACCCTGACTCTAACCTTAACCCTGACCCTAACTCTAATCCTAACGACAACGAGCCCGTCCTGCAGGACTTCCAGGTAGGGCTGTCACCATACTAACGTTTCCAACGCCATACCGATAAATATTCGATACCATTTTCGATACCACAAGGATAAAAACAAAGACCCCAAAATGTAACTGAGTTTTGACAGGTTAGTGTCTTTGGTTTCAAACTGACCTGTTACTGATGTTATGGTGGCCCACATTAATGACCCTAACCCTAACCCTAACCCTCCAAGTCGGCCATTTTGATTAGGTCATGTGACTAGCAGCTTACTGAGGTGGAAACGAAACTTTACTGTCTATACGAAATCGGAAGATAAACGATGTCCTGACCGTAACCCTTACCCTGACTCTAACCTTAACCCTAACCCTAAATATAACCCTAACCCTACACCTAACCCTGACCATAACCCTAACCCTAACCCTAACCCTGACCCTCACCCTAACCCTGACCCTGACCCTAACCCTAACCATTCATAATTGTGAGAAATAAATATTTTTGGTTAAACTTGTTTGGACTTATTGTACAAACCTATTTAACATCCACTATTTTAACAAAATATTATGGATAGAGTCTAATTCAGTGTTTGCTAGATTAATGTCACTATTTTTAAATTAACGTCTATATCACCATGAAGCAATTAGGATTTTCTTGCCTGGGATCTTCCTATTGGTGACCTAATAAAAATGTCTGACTTGAATATGGACGGAGTTGGATATGTACTTGATTAATGGTAGCATCTTATTATTAGCCATTAGCCGCAGCTAGCAAGGCTAACGTCTTGTTAATGACCATAAACAACGTAAATAAATACATAAGTAAATCAGCGCGGTAGTATCGATACTTTTGAAAATGAGTATCGTATCCGGATACAACATTTTAGTATCGATACTTTTGAAAATGAGTATCGTATCCGGATACAACATTTTAGTATCGATACTTTTGAAAATGAGTATCGTATCCGGATACAACATTTTAGTATCGATACTTTTGAAAATGAGTATCGTATCCGGATACAACATTTTAGTATCGATACTTTTGAAAATGAGTATCGTATCCGGATACAACATTTTAGTATCGATACTTTTGAAAACGAGCATCGTATCCGGATACAACATTTTAGTATCGATACTTTTGAAAACGAGCATCGTATCCGGATACAACATTTTAGTATCCAGACTTTAGAAAATGAGTATCGTATCCGGATACAACATTTTAGTATCGATACTTGTGACAACCCTACTATAAACCCTGTTTATAGTCCTCCCTCAAGATCCAACCTCCCTGACAATCCACACTTTCGACTTCCAGGTGCTCTTCAACAACTACGTGACCAACAAGTCGAACAGCTTCCCGTCGGGGGTGATCGGGCGGGTTCCGGCGCGGGACCCGGACGTTTCGGACCGGCTGCGTTTCCGGTTCGAGGCGGGGAACGAGCTCCTTCTGCTGCTGCTGGACCCGGACTCCGGGGAGCTGCGGCTCAGCAGGGACCTGGACAACGACCGCGCCCTGGAGGCCCCCATGACCATCTCCGTCACCGGTAGGGACCCGCCCGGATACCCGCCCTCTGAGGGGGGGTTTGGAGACGCATTATAGACCTCCTGCCCAGAGAAAAATACTTGTTTTATCTCATAGAAGCATAACATTTAATATTGGATGATATCCCTAAACTCAGTATGTAGATAAGTGTGAAGAACCATACACATTACAGACCCCCCCGAAAAGAAAAATACTCCTTTTCTCTTATAAAAGCATAAAAGTTTTTATTGGATGATATCCCTAAACTCAGTCTGTAGATAAGTGTGAAGAACCACTCCGGACACGTTTGAAAAAAACACCTATATTTTCTTATATAAAAGCATAACATTTAATATTAGATGATATCCCTAAACTCAGTCTGTAGATAAGTGTGAAGAACCAGACACACTACAGACTCCCCCCAAAGAAAAATATCTATATTTTTACCCTAAAACACTGTTTTTCACCTATAAATAACTGTTTTGTTATGTAGGTAAGTATGTAGAACACAGACACATTATAGACCCTCCCAAAAAAGAAAAATACTTGTTTTTTCTCATAAAAGCATAAAATGTAATATTAGATGATATCCTTAAACTCAGAATGTAGATAAGTGTGAAGAACCAGGCACATTACAGACTCACTCCCAGAGAAAAATACTAATTTTCTCTAATGAAAATACATAAAATTTCAATATTAGATGATATTCTAAAACTCAGTATGTAGATAAGGATGAAGAACCAAAAAACACCTATATTTTCTTATATAAAAGTATAAAATTGAATTCTAAATTATATCCCTAAACTCAGTATGTAGATAAGTGTGAAGAACCATACACATTACTGACCCCCCGCCCAGAGAAAAATACCTATATTTTACCCCTAAAACATTGTTTTTTCTCCTATAAATACCTGAAATTTCATTTGAAACGATATCCTTAAAAGTATGTAGATAAGGATGAAGAACCACTCAGGACAGGTTTGGTTTGGATCCTCTTTCCCAGCAGCCACCTGCTTTCTGAGGGTTTGAAGATGCATTACAGATTCCCTCCTACAGAAAAATACCTACATTTTACCCCAAAACACTGTTTTTTTCTCCTATAAATACAGTAACTCAGTTAGTAGATAAGTGTGAAGAAACCATATATTTGGGTTTGAGGCGCATTATAGACC